CCTGAGACAGACATCAAGTGGTGAAAGGAGAGAATTTTTTCATTCTTAAAATTTACTTTGCATGTATAAGTTTTAAAACAAATAAATAGAGCTATTGGAATTGTGGGAGCTGGTAGAATGGGCACCTGCTTTCATTCACAGAGCACTTGATTTGTGTCCTGGCACTCTGCTACAGGCTTGGAAAATTTATTTCCTTTAATCTCAAGGTATACTATCATTTTCATGTCATAGTTCATGAAATTAAGGCGCAGATAGGTTAAATAATGAGACCAATGTCTTACTTGTCAGTGAAGGAACTAGGATTTGAGAATACAGCCCAGTCTGGAGGAAAGTACCTTTCACTGTTGCATTTATAGTTGCTCTTTTCATCTTTCTCTTCTTCCCGAATCACAACAATAAAGAACAACCACCATCACTACCACTGCTGTAGCATCTATAACAGCAACAATATTGATCCTAAATCTTCCCTTGACAGCACTGCTCAACAGCATGCTTGGATTCTCCTTCCCTCACTTATAACTTGAGGTTCTCTATTCTTTGAAATAGAAACATGTGGGAAACAAACACCATCTCCTTAGGGTGGTTGCTGGAGTATGCCCTTGGATGCTTTCTGGGACATTTCCCTCTGCAGGGGAAGTTACCTCTACCAGGGAAAACTGACACCTCTAGTATAAAGCTAGGAGTATGATCAGGGAAGGTATGTTCACAACTAGTTTGCTAAATATTTATTTTTCAATTTCTCATTTTTCCTTTGTTCAGATTGTGTCAGTAGGCTTTTATTTGGTTGAGTTTAGGTATGTGAACTGTTGGTCATAAACATTAATAGTTCACTCATTTCTCTTCATACATTTCTAAAACAGAGATTTTTAATGAAAGAGGATGGAAAAGGATGACTATAATCAGGGGAGAGCTTATTGTTTACACTGATTTAACCTTTGCCTTATGATGATGTTCAACTGTGACAAATATAAGCTGGAATTGTTATTTATGCATATCCATGTTCATATATTTATGAATATCCACCTAGAATCACAAGTCAAAGCACATTTGAATTCAAAACTCATTTGGTGTGGGGAAGACTCAGAATCCACAAATGTGCTGCTTGGGAAAGGTCAACTTGGTAGGGGGGTATCCTTGACAGAGGGAAAGTGAAGTCCTTTTTTTTGTGTTTCATCATGCTCAATACTTAGGTGAATAAATAGTCATGGGTGAGATGGTATACTTTGACCACACGTGTGAGTTCAATTAATTACAAAATTATAGGCAAACCACTCTTGAGAATTATCACCAGAAGGAGAAGTTTCCGAGAAGAGCTTGGCCTCTGATTATTTGAAAATACCAAAGTCTTTAAAAGCAAGGAGTTAAAGAGTGAGGTTTAAAAATTATAGCAAATAAAGAGAGGTTTTACATATACATACCTAATTTTGATATAGAAAATAAAAATAAGAATTTACACAATTCTATATAAAATTGAAAACAAAATCTTTTTATCATTTATGGACCTACAAAACTTACTAGATGAGAATCCATAGTGTGGAACTCTGCAGCCTTTGGAATAATTAATTGAAACAGTTATGGATTCATTCAGTGTCAAGTCTAGGCTGCAATTTTCAATATTTACTGTGCTTAGTACTCACGAGTATGTAGAAGAGTGGGGTAAAGGCTAACTTCCACCACACTTCCCCTTTCAGTATAATTAATAGCTAATTTTGAATTAATTTAAATCCCATGTGGAGGGTGTGAGGATGTTCCATCAGGGTGTCTTTCAAGCCTGATCCCATCTGTAGGTGGTGTTGCTGATGAAGCCCTCCTTCCTTTTTGTGAACTGGGTGAAGAAGCTGTTTCAGTCAGAGCCCTAAGCTGGTGGGAATAGGAAGTGAAGAGGGAATCCATATCCTTTGACAAGTCAATGTGGAGAAACAGAGGTGCCTTGTTTCCTTTGTCTCAAGGGCCATCCCAGCTCCGGGCCTTCCTGTGGTATTGCCAATAGTGCAATTTCTCCCTTTGCCCAATCCAATTAATTCAATCCTCAGCCTAACGTCTGTAAAAACCTTTGTATGTTGTTCCAAAGAGCAGTTGTTAATAGCTATTCTTTAAGAGTGTCTCATATTATAGCTGTTTAATGGGGACAACACTTAGGACATAAAACAAATCCCTATACAGACTCAGACTCAGAGAGGGATATTCATCTTCAGGGTTTTCAGGAGCTCCACACAGAGTTCCTCATCAGGAGTTCCAGTCAGACACATCTACTAAACATATAGACATATAGCATACCCTAGGCATTGTTGTAAGCCCTGAAGACACAAGGTTATGTAAAATAGAATTCTTCACTGCAAGGCTCACATTATTGTGAAACAGAGTACTGCAGGGGGAAAAAAAGACAAACAAGCCAACAAAGACAATGTAGGCTGGAAACAGAGAGAGGGCAAGGATGAGACCTTGTCAAAAGTGTCACATTTTGTGAATAAAAGTGTTTCATCTGTCCTTTCACACCCACATCCAGACACTCAACAGAAGCCTTTATTATTTTTTTGTTTGACTTGTTGTAGAATCCTGATCTCAGCCACTTCACTGCTCCCTTCTGTGTCAGAGCCACACAGGACCCAAGTAGAAGACTCCTACTTTTGGATTCGTCCTTCAGCATTGCTTCTCTCTAGTGTTCAGTCAGTGAGTCTGTGAATGGAGCATGTGTGTGTGTGTGTGTGTGTGTGTGTGTGTGTGTATGTGTTTACTTCTACTGAGATTCCGAATGTGTGTGGACTTCTACTGGAATTCTGAACCATACTAAGCCCTCAATGTCCAACACCAACCAAGTCCTAACTTTTCACCTTCCCACTTTCACCTGACTCCCAGGCCTTTATTTTCCCTTGTCATTCAGGAATATCAGTGTTTGTACTTGTCTGCTGCAGCTCTCTATACATAACTCCTTCCCTCCTGCTGCCAGGATGAGCAGGGAGTCAGAGTTTGGTTTTACATGACCTCCTTCTCCCAAGCACATCATCTCCTCTGGCCCTGTTTGGTTTAGTTCACATCACACATCTCCTGTCCCTACCTGCTCATTCTTTATTTTATCTTGAGTTTACCTTGTCTCACTAGGTTACTCCCAAAGTATAAAACTGTCCAAGGACAGAAAAAAAAAAAAACTTGATTAGATATTTGCTGAAGAAATTAGCCTTTAAGAATCGCCAAGGTAAATACAGGCTGAAACAAAAAGGCATGAATTACAGTTGAAGGGCAAGAAAACGGAAATAGTTCAGATTCAAATAACATTAGAGAGCCTAGTGATCACAGCTGGCGGCTTTGGTAACAAAGATGGACCACGCATGTAGTTGTTACACACTGAACTGTGTCTCCCTGCCCAATTCATATGCTGGATCACAACTTTCAGTAGCTTAGAATGTGATGGCATTTGGAAAACGAGGCTTTTAAAGAGGGGATTAATTTAAAATAAGGCTTCCAGGATGGGTCATAATCTAAACTGGCTTGCGTCTCCTAAGAAAGAGAAATGAGACACATAAAGAGACCCAGGGAAGGATCCCATGAGTCCTCTGAGGATTCAACAAGAAGGCAACTGTGTCAAAGTATAGAGAAGGCTCAAGGAGAAATCAAGCCTGCTGACACTTTGATCTTGGATCTCTAACCTTCAAAAGTACACCAAAAAAAAAAAAAAAACATTCTGATTTTTATGCCACCTAGTCTCTGTTGTTTTGCTACAGAATTTCACATTTATCTGACAATTGAGGAATGAAGTGAGGCCTGCATTTTAGGAAAGCTGCGCTGATTGCATAGAGGACCAAAGTGGGGACAGAAGGATGCTAGTTCACTGGGAGGCATCACCAATCTAGATCAAGAGGGAGGGAGGCCAGATGTGAGTGTGTTGACATCAGTCAGTACTGAAGAGATGTTGTGACACATTAGTGTGACATTGACGTCTGCCACAAAATATAATTTGTAGGGATTAATAAATAAAGCTTGCCTGAAGTTCAGAGAGTAAAACGGCCCCACTTGTCAGCCTTACAGATCAGGCAGTGGTGACACGTGTCTTTAATACCAGTAGCCACACTAGTTTTCCAAGAAACGAGGCAGTAGTGGTGGACACACTTAATCCCAGCCCTAGAGAAGAATGTAAAATGGGAGGAGGCAGCTCTCAGTCTCAGTCTCATTCTGAGATTCCTGGAGGCAGGATGGCCATTTCAGACTGAGGTAGAGGTAAGAGTCAGTGGCCGGCTGTTTTAATTTTCTGACCTTCAGTTTGAACCCCAATATCTGGCTCTGATTTTTTTTTTATTAATCCTGCTACAATGATTTTGTAAAATGCAGTTTTACAAGAAATAAAACATGGATTTTCAGTGTTTACTTCATTCTTTGGAAAGACTGTCAACGTGGCAATGTAATATAGGCTCTATCAGCCTTCCACCCTATTCCAGATGGAAAGCTACATGTGAGAAGGGCTCTGTGGAGGGAAGGACCCAGCCTCCAGACTGGCACATCAATTCTGCAAAGAAGGTTTAAAATGAAACCTCTGTAACTATGTAAAACAAACTTATTCCTTAATTTTCACTGATTACCCTTGTTTGAGAGATACCTTTACCCTCTTTTCTGAACTGCAACATTTTAGAAATGAATGTTTTGGGAGTGTGTTCCAATGCACTAGCACAGCTTCAGCATAAATATGGAACCCTGGCCTGGAAACTTCTAGTTTCCACAGAAACACTGTTCAACAATTAAACAAACAAACAAAATACAACACTTGATTTTCTCATAGTCTGACAGCCACCAGATCTAAAAACAAGTGGAAATCTAATGAGTTCCTCAGTATTTTGAATGAAAAAAAATTGAGGTGATTTCAGAGGAACTATGTTTCAAATGCAGAACTCTATGGACAGTTTTGGAATGGGGATGCTGACCACAGTTCTTTGATGTCAGATCAACCACTGTCTAAGCTTTAGACCATTCCCATTATTTTGGACCCAAGCATGTCCACATGCAAAACTCACAGGCAATGCGCACATATGCCTTCCGACTCTTCGTAGTGCCTGCTGAACTCCAGGCCACACACTGGCACCAGTAATCTTCGGGCCCAAACAGTTCCTCTACTTGCTGGCGTGAAATCTCAATGCTCACTTCCCTCACAATGAGACCTGACAAGAGAAGCAAAAGTTCAAGTCAAGAGAGGACCTACCTGTCAGCAACACAGAAAACAAGTGATCCCATTTGAAGCCATCGATCACCACCCAGATATTGCCTCCAGCCGATCATTTTCTGAGGATTCCAGTTACTGTACTCCACATATTTAGTTTTTGTTTGCTATTTCAAGTCTTCAATATTCATCTGAAGATGAAAGTGGTGTGAATCTATAACCCCACAAAATAGCATTTCTTCTTATCTAACTCAATAATAATCATCTCCTACCTGGCTGATCTCTTTGTTAAAAGACTAAAATGATATCATCTTGGCTTTCATGTTCCCTCAAGATTCTACTTTAATTATATAGGTTAGGACTAAGATGCCCAGATGTTGTAATCAGCTTTACACAATGCAGTCTTCCTAGTCCCTCAAGAAAGGAAAGAAAATAACCTAAATCTGTAAAGTTGGTGGTGATCATTTAAAAACCACTTTAACAGTAATGTTTTAAATATGATAGCACATCATTTTTTATTGAAATACATTATACTCTCAGTGAAATGAAAGAATACATGACTTTTAAAAAGTTTTCCTGTACAATACTTTGGAAGCTCACATGTTTATCAGTAATTGTAATGTAGATGAAATCCCAAAGAAGCGTCTTCAGCTACAGTGTTAAAATAATTCCAAGTTTTGTATTTTGAGTAACAAAAATTGAACCAAGGATTACCATTTCAATGGTATTTATCTGAGGTCTTAAGATGATTTCAGAGATTCATTCTGCAATGTCTTTTTGCACTGACCAGGAGAGATTAACTGAGTGATATATGTGGGCAACTGCCTCTTCACTTGGAGATTGAATGCACACATTTCCAGAATGAAGTGTTCATTGAGAGCAATAGCACAACACCCACAGGGAGAAAAAAAAGCCATGAGCTTTTGGACATAGTAAGAATGACAGAATGAATTGCTTTTGTTTATTAACATTTTACCCATTAATTCAGTCATTGGTCAGTGATACTTTACAAGGTATCAGTTATATTAAAAGTATTTTATTAGGCACTTGTGGAATTCTAATGAATAAGTTAGTTACCAACCTTAATGAACTATAAATATCCAATGATATATATATATATATATATATATATATATATATATATATATATATAAGCAGGCTTGTACTAACAATGGAACAATAGCATTTAATATATTTAATAATTGTGCATTTATTAATGTACTTATTAATTATGTTGAATTCAGCAAATAAGTTGTAAAGAGATGAAAGTAAATAACAAAAATCTCAGTCTACAAAGAAGGATCACAAAGGAGTTACTCTGTTTACACTATACGGTGAGAGGTACCAAACATTTAGGAAGCAGCAATAAAGGAATCATAAAATTCACAATCAAAAAGACCACCAAACCCTGGCTATAGAGAATGGAGGTAGGAAATATATATAGAGATAAAAAAAGGGTCCAGTTTGGACAATTGTATTCTAATGGTTCCCAAAGTGGGGCTCTCAGAATGGCATTCCTGGCATTACTTGAAAACCTGTGGGAAATGCAAATTCTCAGACCTTACTCCAGACTCATTCATTAGAAATCATTCGAGAAGCGACTGCCCGTCTATGGACTTTTAACAAGGCTGCCTGCTAAGTAATAGAATATGCTAAATTGGAGAATTCTTGTACTCAATGCTTAAGAATTTGGATTTATTTCTGAAAGAATTGTATATCATTGAGGTATTTGACACAGATGACTTAGGCAGTGGGCTATTGGATACATGTGTGAGATAGACAATATCTATATACTTTTATACATGTGTTTAGAGCTTAAAAATCTATGAAGTATCATGATGCCTAAAAATATTTTTATAATGGGTTTCAGGAAATGGTATGGCTTCTGGCGACCTTGAAAGGGGGATCCCAAATAATACCTAAGATGTATTCAAATAATTTCAGTGAAATCAGAGAAATTCATAGGTACCCAACAGAGATAGGGACCATACTATAGAGAAATGAAGTTCTATCAAGAACTGATGGGGTTTGAGTCATAGGCCCTTATCTCCTCATAACTGAATTATACTAAAGTCTATGAAAGCATATCCAGGGCAGAACGAGGTCCTGAAGGGACAACTCGATTGTCAAACATTTATACTGTAATATTACTTTAAAGTTTGAAGATTATTAACCCTCTTGTATTTATTTAATAGTCAGTTTAAAAGGTAATTTCCGGTAAATAACATAATCCAACCCTTCATCAAGCTGTGAAAAAGACAGAAAGAATTGCACTCATAAATGCCTAAAAATGCAACAATTTTCATAGCAAGAATCCTAAGCAAAAGTGTTTCTATTTCCTGGATCTTCCTTGGGTCCAGTTTCCACCCTCGTTGCAGTTTTCTCATTGATATCTAGACATCTTTGCTGTCAAAGAAAGAAAGTCTCCATTCTCAACCCCACCTGTGCTTTCTCCTTACCCTCTAATGTTTAGTGCTTTCACCTGTCTTTCTGCTCAAACATGCCCCATTTACGTGGAAGTCCAGTTATTGGAAAGAAAACTCTTCCTTTAAAGTTGCTGCAGGCAATATACAGTCACCAAAGGGCTGATAAACCTGCAGTGTGCATTTACTTCTCACTAGAATGATTCTTTCTAAAAATGCAGAACAGCTATGGATATTGAAACCACATATAAATATGTATTGTTTTGTCCCGAGATAACAACCTCAGGTTTCGTTCCCTTTCCATTTGCTGGAAGTAATTACTGGCAACCTAATTAAATGATGGTGGAACGTCACTGGGTCCACTATATCCTTGAGACTGAACAGGTTTGTGAATGTTTCTACTAACCACAAAATCCAAAGCCTTTTAAGAAGCCACAGACCAACTCTCCTGCTACTGGAGCTATGCACACTATGAATGTTCTGAATTATGTAGCCCAGGCTCCCTGTGGGCACTGGAATCCAGCACACATAGAGGGCTGTCTTCAGCTTTACAGATGCCCCATTCAGCAGCACATGAACTAATTACAATTGTGTACAGTTGCATGGTCACATGGCCCACACTGTTTACATTCCACTATTTGGTCAGTGGCAGAATAGGAAAGGAGTGCAGCATGGAGTATTTAAATATTTAGAGCTCAGAATTCCCTGAAATCCTCTGGATTATTAAGGCTCGCAGCTACATAGCTATGCACAGTTTTTTTTTCATTGCTGTAGGTAATTTTATTTTGTGACATTTTGCTCATCAAGCAAGAGCCTAGTGACTTCAATGAAATATAAGTAATCTCTTTTCTCTTTGAAAGACGGATTTCAGATCTTCTTGAAGTCCCGGGACGCAAGAAACAAGCCGTCTCGAAATCTGAAATATCATCAGCATTACTTCCAAGGAAGACTGTTTCGAAGAGCCTTGGGAACTTGAAATTGGTTTCAGGTTATTTAGCGGTTAGGGGAGTGCTACAGAATTTATACAAATACAAATGAGTGGTTTCCATCACATCTGATAACATCAAAGATTTCCCATCACTTTCTTTAATAGTGGCATCTCAAAGATGCAGGCTGTTTGAAGTTTGCAGTCATTTGTGTCTATAATAGCTTTCATTGTTCTCTGGGAACCAGAGTGCAAGGAATTTATTAGCTTGTTATACCAAGAACTCTTACAATGAGTATGAACAAGCACTTGATAACAGGGAGGTTAAAATGGATATGAAAGTCCAGATAGAAGTTCAACTCTCTGATTGCATCCTTGTGAGACTACATAAATAAAACAATGAACATGTATATTACTATAATTTGATCATAAATACATATATAATTGATTCTTAAACTCCTACATTCCCATGGTGATCTAATATTTAGTCCTGTCAAGTGACTATGCTTTAAAAGTTCACTAATGTCAGATATTTTGTTATGTTGTATAATTGAGAACACAGGTAAAACATCACCCAGCCCGAAGCTGTCAATTTATTATATGAAAGGTTTACTTTATAAATAAATTCTTAAAAGCTATATACTAAAGCACTACAATTATTCCAGAGATCTATGGATGGATCTACACACAACATAATTTAATAAATTTAACCCAACACAATGATTGACTTGAGGGCAGAGGTCATATGATCTCATTAAATACAGATAAGGTCTTCAAAAAAATTCAACATCCTTTCATGATAAAAGTCATGGACAGTCTATGGATATATGGGACTTAGATAAACATAATAAAGGTAATATACAAAAATTCCATAGCCAACATTATACTAAATGGAGAAATTTTCAAAGCATTTCCACTAAAATTGTGAAGAATGTAGAAGTGTGCACTCTCTCTACTAATGTTCAATATAATCACTTGAGATCTTGACTACAGCAATAAGACAAGAGAAGCAGATAAAGGAAATACAAATGGAAAGGGAAGAGGTTAAAGTATCCTTATTTGTAGATGATCTATCTCTATACATAAAATCACCTAAAGACTCTACCAGAAGACTGACAAATGCATTCAGTGGAGTAGTAGGATACAAAGTTAACACACAAAAACCAGTACCAGAGAAATAACATTTATGATAGGTCCCACAAATTAAAATTTTCTAAAATAGTTCTAATCGAGAAACTGTACTTGGATAGTGAAAACTTTAAGACACTGAAGAAAGAAATTTGTGTAATGAACCAACCAATTTCTGATTGGCTAAGGTCCTCTCCTTGTGATGAAACCCATCTCTGACACTGCTTCTGTGGCTACGACTCTGAGACTATATAGGTCAGGTACTTTTGGGGCTACTGTTACACAAAAGGAACATAACAAAATGACTTTTGAGGAATCTCTTCTATAATCATAGATCAGTGTCTTGCTCAGCTGTCATCAAAGAAGCTTCCATTGCAGCAGACGGAAGCAAATATCAAGACTCAAAGCTGGACAATGTGAAAAGAATGAGAGGCATTGGAGCACTAGGTACTAAGTGGGATGATTATCAATTCTTTCCTCTCATAGCACAGAGAACCTTGTGGAAGAGGAGGCAAAAATATTGTA